GCACTTTGGGAGGCCAAGGCAGGCAGATCACGAGGTCAAGAGATCGAGACCATCCTGGTCAACATGGTGAAACCCCATCTCTACTAAAAATACAAAAAAAAGCTGGGCGTGGTGGCATGCGCCTGTAGTCCCGGCTACTCGGGAGGTTGAGGCAGGAGAATTGCTTGAACCTGGGAGGCAGAGGTTGCAGTGAGCCAAGTTCACACCACTGCACTCCAGCCTGGCGTCTGGTGACAGAGTGAGACTCTGTCTCAAAAAAAAAAAGAAAGAAAATTACTAAATAAAAATTACTCAAAGATAATTCACCTTCATTGCAGCTTTATTTGCAACAGCCAAGATATGGAAACAGTCCTTATCTTGGACTGTTTATTAATGCATGGATAAACTGGTGTGTGTATACACAATTTATCTGTACAACAGACCCCGTGGCACATAAATTGTGGTGGGTTTACAGAATTTATCCATGCATTCATTGATACTTGGGTTGTTTTCATATCTTCCATATGTAAGTCTATGTATACACACACAATAGAATATGCATATTCTATGTATACATAGATTACTCAACCTTTAAAAAGGAAACAATTTTCATTTGTAACTTGGAAGAACCTGAAGAACATATGCAAAGTGACATAAGCCAAACACAGAAAGACAAATATTGCATGATTTCACTTATATGTGAAATCTTAAAACGTTGAACTCCTAGAAATAGCATAGAAGGTCAGGGAGGCAGATATTGGTCAAAGAGCACACACTTGCAGTTATAAGACCATGCTATTGCGAATAGTGCTGCAATGAACATACATGAGCGTGTGTCTTTATAACAGAATGATTTATATTACTTTGGGTATATACCCAGTAATGGGATTGCTAGGTCCAGTGGTATTTCTGGATGAGCTGGATAAAGAAAATGTGGTACATATACACTACGGGATATCATGCAGCCATAAAAAATGAGATCAAGTCCTTTGCAGGGACATGGATGGAGCTGGAGGCCATTATTCTTGGCAAACTAACACAGGAAAAGAAAGCCAAATACTGCATGTGCTCACTTCCCAGTGGGAGCTCAATGATGAGAACACATGTGCACAGAGGGGAGCAATCCACACTGGGGCCTTTCAGAGGGTGGCAGGTGGGAGACGGGAGAATATCAGGGAAAAATAACTAATGGGCACTGAGCTTAATACCTGGGTGATGAAATAATCTGTAAAACAAACCCCCAAGACACAAGCTTACACAACAACCTGCACTTGTGCCCCTGAACTTAAGTTAAAAAAAATTAAAAATTTGACCAATGTAAAAAATGGCTAATACGTTCCGGAGGCCTAATATGTAGCATGGTGACTGATTAATAATGTGTACTTTAAATGTGATGACATATGATGAGAGCTTCAGTTCTTATCACAAAAGGGGGTAACTAGTGTGATGAATATGTTAATCTGATTGTAGGAGCTAAAAGATTTTATGTGTATAATATGCAGAAAGTTATTTTACTCTTCTCATAAGTTAACTTTTCTTAGATTTGTTGCTTATTTAAGCAAAATTAACTTATTCTGTTATTTGAAGGTCACTACAGTTTCACTAACTTTACCAGGCAAACAATGAAATAACTTATTAGAAGTTGTCTGTTTGGATCAAGCAAATATAGCCATGCCTAAATACAGGAACACCTATTAGTTGCATTCTGGGGATCACTTCAAGGTTATAATTGTGTATCCTCAATCTACTTGGGTCATTCTCAACTGCTTTGTAGTTCATGATCTGAATAGGTAAGAACCCTTTAGAACACATTTGGTTCCCACCTCCATCACAAAAGGAGTGAGTGCTTGTCCGTGTCTCTCCCTAGAAGTTCTCCCTCCCACTAGAAGACAGACAGAAGGCTGCTCCAGCTCCAAGGAGCTCTCAGAGGGGACCTTGTTACAACAGGGATCTAGAACCCCTCTACCGCACAATCCTTCTGTCCATTTCAGAGACACTTACATGTGAGCATCCATGCGTGAAGATAATTTCTAAAATCAAAATGGGTTCATAAGCACCTCGGGGGGTGTGGTCAACCACCTGGCAAGCACTGCTACTTCATCCTTTCCTTCACCCTGTTTCTTCTTTTACCCACCTCCTCTGCTCACCATAAACTGGAGTCAGATAATCACACTCAGAGATAAATCCAATGCCTGACCCTAAAGTCCTCTGTCCTTCCCCCGTTACCGGGATGGCTTGCTGCTCCATCTTACTACCTGCCTGGATGGCCGACTTGCATTTCTGAGGTCAGAATTTTTATTCATCTTGAGAAAATCCAAAGATAAATCAATGGTACAAACATTTTGTCATCAAACCTATATTCGATTTTCAAAGGACAAAGTCATTCTATTTTCCTATGTATTACTAAAGAAAATGTTCAGCTGCTGATACATATTATTAACATACCCGACTCTTGTGTTTGACATTAAAACCTTTTTTTTTTTTTTTTTTTTGAGACGGAGTTTCACTCTTGTTACCCAGGCTGGAGTGCAATGGCGCGATCTCGGCTCACCGTAACCTCCGCCCCCTGGGTTCAGGCAATTCTCCTGCCTCAGCCTCCTGAGTAGCTGGGATTACAGGCACGCGCCACCATGCCCAGCTAATTTTTTGTATTTTTAGTAGAGACGGGGTTTCACCATGTTGACCAGGATGGTCTCGATCTCCCAACCTCGTGATCCACCTGCCTCAGCCTCCCAAAGTGCTGGGATTACAGGCTTGAGCCACCACGCCCGGCTGACATTATAACATTTTCTAAAATATTGTCTCTTTCAAGCAAAGTTTCACTAGATCCGTTAAATATTCCTCCAAAGGGTCAGCATGCCTGTGTTAGTAGCAGAAGACAACAGGGATACTAGTCTAAGAGCTTAAAATGTATTCTTTTCCCCAATACTTTGTATCTAATGAGATGTGAGAAATTATTTTAAGTGTATAACTAGAATTGTAAACTTATAAGAATAAGCTTCATATGCCTTTGACCATGATTAAAAAATCTTAACTGGGTAGCCATTAGACCAGCATGGCTCTGGTGCTTTAAATTCCTGTGTGAACAAAACAAAGCCCCAGGTAAACAGCAAATGAAAGTAGAAATTGTACTGGTCGGAAATCAGCTAACCTCTAACCGGGACTTCCTGCTCTGACCCATCGACCTCGTCCTCTTTGCCTTGCGTCTGCAACCTCTACAGCAGTCCCCTCTTCTCCACAGCTCTGCCTTTTGCGGTTTGTTACCTGCAGTGACCTGTGGTCTGAAAATATTAATATTTTCCGAGACCGTATTTACAAAACTGGTTTTACAGCATATGCTTATAATTGTTCTACTGTAGTTATTAATCTCGTACTGTGACGAATCTAAACTTTACTGTAGGTATATGTGCATTAAAAAACATGCTGTATATACATATGAGGCCACTATCCTTGGTTTCAGACATCCATTGGGTTTCCTGGAATTTGTTCCTTATGAATAAAGGGAATACTGTATAAAACTTGCCCCTTTCACCCCTCCCAACAGAGCTGCCTGCAGATTGATGCTGCCCCCATTCATGAGTCACTGAATGCTCAAATAAATGCTTTAAAATTTTCCTAGGCTTACATTTGTTTTTAACCCACCCGTAGAACAGTTTGTGTTGAATTATAATGTGTGGCATTGTAATTAATAGTAACTATGTGGTATTATAAGACTGCTACTGTGAATAGAGCAGCACTTAACATAAAAGTGCATGTCTTTACAATAGAATGATTTCTATCACAGAATTCCCGTTTCTGCATAGGAAGTATGAGACAAATTCACTGTAACTCCATATATAAACTTTTAAAAAGCTGAATATATTAGACATGTTAACTAAAGTTTCAGATTGAACTCAGACTTGAGATCTAGCATTTAGTGGTGGGTGGGGGGGGGAGAAATACCATATATAGGTGATGGGGGGGCTGAAGGCAGCAAACCACCTTGCTATTTATATACCTCTGCAATAATCCTGCATAATCGGCACGTGTACCCCAGAACCTAAAATACATTTTTAAAAAAAGATCATTATTACTATTTCCTAAAAAGCATCAAATAAAAACTCAGATTAACTTCTACCTTAAATGTTTAAAGAAAGAGCTCTAAAATAGGGAAGTTGCCAGTGATGGAAACCCTTTTCCTGGAGACCAGATTGTCTAGGAAATACGGTATGACTTCTGTATTTAGTAAGCCCAGGAGTGGTGGATCTAGGGGCTCCACATGCCACGGAGACAGCTTGTCACTCCTCTCTTCTCTGTACTCCTTAGACTTTCAAGGGGGCTTTCCCAACAAGGTGAGAAATGTTAACGACAACTTCAAGCTCCACAGATTACCGGTTCAGCAACCTCAGCAGAGGGAGGACACCTTTTCCTGACACGTTTAGGAAGAACCCAGGGAGGACTCTGATTCAACCAGACCAGAAGTCGGAGGTGGTCCTGTGCTACCCAAACCACGTGGACCAAGACCAAGCAAGGTGATAATCTTCCAGAGCAAAATCAGTTCCTGCTACCACCAAACAGGCAAAGACCGCTAATTTCCCCTACAATTCCTAGATATCAAGGCAATAACATGAAAATTCTTTTTTTTTTTTTTTGAGACGGAGTTTCGCTCTTGTTACCCAGGTTGGAGTGCAATGGCGCGATCTCGGCTCACCGCAACCTCCGCCTCCTGGGTTCAGGCAATTCTCCTGCCTCAGCCTCCTGAGTAGCTGGGATTACAGGCACGTGCTGCCATGCCCAGCTAATTTTTTGTATTTTTTTTAGTAGAGATGGGGTTTCACCATGTTGACCAGGATGGTCTCGATCTCTTGACTTCGTGATCCACCCGCCTCGGCCTCCCAAAGTGCTGGGATTACAGGCTCGAGCCACCACGCCCGGCCAATAACATAAAAATTCTAAATGACCAAAACCAGTCTTTGGCTGGTTGTCATCTATCATGACACAGAACAGAAGCTTCACACAGCCACACAGAATACACAGAAGTCTATTTTTTTAAGTAGCTTTATTAACAACTTACATCCCATAAAATTCATTCAAGTGTACAATTCAATAGTCTTCAGCACATTTACAGAGTTGGACAACCATCACCACAATCCATTTCAGACCACCATGCAAAAAGAAACCCTGTGCCCATTAGCAACTGCTTCAGTCTCCTCCCCTCCTTGCAGCCTATGGCAAATACGAATCTATATTTTGTTCATGTACAAAATACGACACTTAACGTGTACAACTTGATACAACTTCACATATGCACCCGGCCATGAAGCCATCACCACAATCAAGATAATAAACACATCTGTTACTTCCAAACATTTCTAAAGGCCCTTTTGTTTTCTGTTAGGAGATTTTTGTGGTAAAAATAACATGAGCTCAACGCTTTTTTTTTTTTTTTTTGAGACGGAGTTTCGCTCTTGTTACCCAGGCTGGAGTGCAATGGTGCGATCTCGGCTCACCACAACCTCCGCCTCCTGGGTTCAGGCAATTCTCCTGCCTCAGCCTCCCGAGTAGCTGGGATTACAGGCACACGCCACCATGCCCAGCTAATTTTTTGTATTTTTTTTAGTAGAGACGGGGTTTCACCATGTTGACCTGGATGGTCTCAATCTCTTGACCTCGTGATCCACCCGCCTCGGCCTCCCAAAGTGCTGGGATTACAGGCTTGAGCCACCGCGCCCGGCCCGAGATCAACGCTCTTAAAAATTTTTTTAAGGAAACAATACGATATTGTTAACTATAGGCACCGTGCTATACAGCACATTTCTAGAACGTATTCATCTGGTTTAACTAAGTTTGTATCTATTGAACAAGTCATGATTTCCTCCTTCCCCCAACCACTGCTAAACACCATTTTATTCTCTGCTTCTATGCGATTATTTTAAGTAACTCCGTAAGTGGGAAAATACTAACCTTACCATCTCATACCCTACATGGGGCAGAGAGTTAGGGAGGTCCTCACAACCAGAGCTGCAAATCCGAGCCGCCCACCCACAAGAATTAAACAATAGGAAATTATCTGTGGAAATTAATTGACTGTTAATTATGTTACAGTTGCTAAGACATTTCTTCTCTTGTGCCTTTAGCTATAAATTACATTATTTAATGTGTATTGTTATTTCCTTTTTTACCTATTTTACGACAAGCACTATACTTGATCAGTCACTTTTCCCTCATGGAGTGCTGTCTAGTATAATATCTTAGGGCTATTTATGATCTAATAAATACTTACTGATCTCCCTTGGTCTTTATTAAGAAAAAGAGACCTGTTTCTTTTTCAGGTTCTCATCATTAGGCTTCTGAAATGTGACACACAAAATGATTCAGAGCCTTGAAATGGAGTCAGGAAGCCAATCTAAGAACTACCTGCATGATCTGAAACCTGCAAAACAGGAACTTCCTTTAATATTTGAACTGGGTCACACCACCGTGACCACAACATCCTGGAAAACAGCTGATTTTCACCAGTGCTGCAACCCTTAAACAATGACAACCAATGAACTGTGGACTCATGTACTAAGCCAACCACCCTCACCAGTGATAACTCTTTCAGAGCAACTTGTGAGTACCCTCAGCATCCTTTTACAATTCTCTACTATCCTACCTCTCTTCAGAACACAGCTCAGCTTCTAGCTGTGTCCCAAATTGCAATTCCTAAGACCCCAGGAAAGGCCTTATCTTTCTGCACCGCAGTCTACTCTTTTACCTTTTCCTGGCTGACAGGCTCCACAAGTAAGAGAAACCATGTGAGGAAAGGAGCAAGCTTTCTCGGTATCGTCAAATGGACATTTCTAAGAATTAAATAAGTTGTCTTCAGAAAATAAAATGACCACTCTTCAATTTACACATTTGTTTCTTGAAATTTTGGGGGCCGCTTACAAGACAAAAGTTTAATGCATTCTTACATATTTTGGGTAAGTCACTTTATAACATTGTGATCAAAATGCCTAGTGTAGTTATTTTCTGTGATTTCCATTTAGATCACATATTAAACTTTATTATACCACATTAACTATCTTTCCAGTGAAATATTACATGGAATAATAAGAATATATATAGATAACTAGCCATGATCTTTAAAAACAATACCTTCTGATATGTCACAGCAAACATTACTTTTAGCTGCTTCTTCCCCTTACCAAATAGTGCCACTTATTACAGTCCTGTGCATTGTTCTGCACCAATAAACTGAGCAGCTGACAAATGCAACTGGATTATTAGAAATCTTATTTTCCCTTGATTATATTACAGTCTGCAACCCATGACTCTCCATATGGTATTAAAATAAGTTTGATTAGAATTCTAAGGGTCACAATATGTGAATCACATTCTTATTTCCAAATACATTACTGATATGTATGAGAGTTAAACACTGATGTATACTTTTAAAACATTACAACAAATTACCCAGAAAACAAACACCACAGAAAGCCAGAATTCCACTATCCAAAATTGTTCCATGCAAAAATAAAACAAGAATACAACCTACATCTGATTTGACCCTCATTAAAGTAATGCAGCGTATTACAGTGGGACATTCTGATGGGCAAGAGAAAAAAAACAAGTCCGTTACTTGAAACACTATTCCATATGTCTTTTCCAAGGAAATACTAAATTGGAAGAGAGCAGCCTGTCTATTTACATGGTTTCCAACCCATTGAAGAAGTTGTACAAAGGAATACCCTGAGGAAGCTTCTAAAGTTTGTAAACCAAGCACTTTGCCTTTACCTTTATTTGCCCCCACCAAAATGCTGATGATATAATCTGAAATTTCCTGCATTTGAAGGCATGTGTACTAATACGCATGATACAGAAGTACTGACTGCATAGACCAGGTATACTGCAAAGCCTAAAATATTTTCTATCGGGCTCTTTACAGAAGAACTGTACAACCCCCTCCTAAACTAAAGCTGAAGACTTGAAGTTCCTCCCTGCTTTATTGCTTTGTTAAATGCTGGCTCACTCTGTTACTAGATAGTCAAAGTTTCAGATTTAAATTCTGTGACTCAAATGTACTTCTTAAAAATCAGTCTCCTGCCATCTCTCATAAATTGACACAATACTTACAAAAAAATATGTTTGCACACAGCCCTCTCCTCTTCTGTATTGTAAACCTACCTTTCAGGCACCGTCTGATGTAGGTCTCATCTGACTTTTAAAAGGATACAGCTGCTTTGGGGCTATCACAGCTGTTTCCAATTAGCTGACTGACTAAATGATTAGACACCCACACATTTTAAAGTCTATTTTTCATACATGTAACTTGTAAATAAAGCTCAATTTTAGTCACTAATCTCACTTGACTAGAAACCAATTCATGTTTGTCCCATGAAAGAAGCAGGTTTTGGGTCCAATAAACCCTTAAAAGACAAATGGCCCGCACTAAAATCTCTAAGGGATGGAGGTAGCCCATTGAAAAGAAATATTTGGAAATATTTGATAATCTTTCCATTTATTCCCTTCATTTGAGCACCTGAAAATCTCCTACAGCTGCCTGCCCACCCACCTTTCTATTTCCCCTTTATCTCCTGGAAGAAAATGTCCTATCAGATCTCAGACAGTAAAGAGACAGAAATCAAGAGAAAAAAATTAATTTAGCTCCTTCTCGGCTTCCACCCTGTATTAGTCTATTTTCATGCTGCTGATAAAGACATACCAAGACTGGGTAATTTATCAAAAAAAAAAAAAGAGGTTTAATGGACTCACATTTCAGCGTCGCTGGGGCAGCCTCACAATGACAGTGAAAGGCGAAAGTCATGTCTTCCACGGCAGCAGACCAGAACTGAGAACCAAGTGAAAGTGATTTCATGCTAAAAAACCATCAGATCTCATGAGACTTCCTCACTACCATGATAACAGTATGGGGAACCGCCCCCACGATTCAGTGATCTCCCACCAGTTCCCTCCCACAACACATGGGGATTATGGGAGCTGCAATTCAAGATGAGATTTGGGTGGGGACACAGCCAGACCATATCATGCCCTAACCCCCATATTCAATGTAACATGCTTACGCTGACATCTATAAATTATAAACTCGACATGAAATAACATCACAAAAAGCAGCAAAATGTCTGAGACATTGGCCACATGCATTATGTAGTCTCACTAATTCATACAACTCCTAAAGACTAACATACAGAAGCAATTAGGTCCAAACATATTCATACTGTTTTCAAACTTGAAAGTTAATAAATACGGAAAAATCCTGAACTATACTTGAAGGATGTTGTCAGTATTCAGATTATAGTTTCGGGCAGGACAGGGGAAACAAAAGTAAAAGGGAATATAGTATATAAAGAATATTCCAGAACTATTGAAAACACAGCAAGATCTTCAGGAGAAATGTTTTTATCCAACAATAAAAGTGTCTTTGGAACATTAAAATTTTTCCCACACAGCAAAGGAAATAGAAGTTGGACACTGACACCCATGAGAAATAACAGTAGAAACAATCTTCATATCCAAAGGTAAAAGATAAATGGATAAACCTTTGAAGCATTAAGACCTGAGGCTCCTTCTTGTCCATGACTCATTATACTTCGCTATCCTCTGAATTAAAGTAGCCCTAATTAAAAGCAGTCAGAGAGGAAAGGCAGGAAGATGGAAGGAGGAAAGAGGAAACGGGAGGAGGACGGGGAGAATATGATGAGAAATATGAGCAAGAACGAACAAGACAGTGAAAGAGAAGATGGGAAGCCGGCTGGAAAGCAGACCTGGGAAACAATTCCATTAGAAAGGGTGAAAGAATGAAGTGCAGAGTGGGAGAGAGGGATGGAAGAGGAGGCAGGAAGGAAAAGCACAAGAGCAAAGGAGCATATGGAGGGATCCTACTGAGTGAAAAAGAACTGAGGAACCGAGAACCTGTGAAGAATTATTTACCAGAGGCCGCCAGGATAGGGAAGCAGAAGCAAAGAGCAGAGGTGAGGCTGACAGCAGAGAGCTGCAAAATACCGGTTAGTGTTTAAGATGCCACCAGAAATTTGAAACCATGGTGAAGTCGTCTACTACTGCGTTATTTTTTAAAAATTCACAAGAGGAAAAGGATAAATTAAATTTTAAGAATCTAGATTCTGGTGGGAGGAGAGGATTGTAGCCAGCTGAGCTGAAAGCTGAGACAAATCATGAAAACTTTGAGAAGTTCAGGGAGAAAGCCATCTTTCAACTTAACCGGCTGCTCAAGACCAACGACCGGGAAGAGGATGGTCACATGTTGAGAACAGCGTTCTTTTAACGTGCTGTAGGGCACAAACCATGTCAACTGGGTATTTCACCTGCAAGGGAAGGAGAATTAGAACGTTCCACTGTCTGTGTTACTGTGTGCCCAGCACAAAGTACAAACTATTTAAGTGTTTATCAACAGAATGAACTCTCCTTTAATATTACAAAACAAGTATCTTGGATTAAAGTATATTTGAAATCCCAGTTACAGGAACAACTAAATCTAAGGCTGTAACAAACAGATACATGGACTAAGATCTCTCTAAAAATGCACTTCTGTTTGTTGGATTCCCACTATATATATCCTAAGCATTTTACATGTTTTCTCAATTCTCCAATAAGCAGTTTGGGAAGCTGAAGCTTAAAGAATTTTAGTGGGTTACCCACTGGCCAGTGTGAACCACTGAATCATGTCTACCAGAATATAAACCCACAAGGACAAGGGTTTGGGTCTATTTTGTTCCCTGCTGTTTCCTCTAAGAAAAATGCCTGATGCAAGAAATAAACGGAACAAACGTTTTTTGAATGAATAAATGCCTATTTCCGATCAGACAACCGAATATGACCACGGAAAAAAAAAGAATCTTGCCAACTAGTCTCAAATTCATGATGATTAACCTCCGAAGTGGGCTCCTATCCTTAATAAAGTGACCCAGGTTTGTTCAATCCATTTTGTATACACAGCATTTGAAACCATGAGTCAGGATGATATCACTTCAAATGATTATGAAGAAAAAAGCCAGTATTTACAAGCCTGGAAGATAAGGAAAAACACAGAAGATACTAAAGAGGAGAGTGAGTCAGGATAAGATCCAAGAGAACGTGGTGTCCCAGCAGCAGAGAAAGGGGCATATTTCAAAGAAGAGAACTGGCCAGTTTCCCCAGGAAACAGACTTCCGGACCGAAATATCCATGCAGAAGGTGTACTGGTGAGTACTCTCAGGGTTGGCTCCAGTAAGGAGCCGGGAACACAGGAGAGTCAGAGAACTGAGATTCAACGCAACAGAACCCGGAGCCGAGAGGCCTGCAGTTTCCCCTACCTCGAAGCAAGAGGCCGGCACACCTGTCATTGGAGGCCCCTGGCCTTGAGGCTGCACCTGACACCCATCACCACACACCTTTCCGCATTAACTAGATTCACCTCACCCTTGATGCTCTAAAAGTCTCCTAATCACAGGCCGATAATTAAAGTCAAGTCACAATAGAACCTGGTCAGAGAAGCGCTGGGCCTGCTGCAAGAGGAAAGTGACTTTGCATAAAAGCTGCAGGAGTCAGCGACGTGTTTGCCCTTCCATACACCCGGAACCACGTGCGCTAGTAACCTTCCTCCTCAATACCAGTGTGTCTAGTGTACACCACTGCCATCCTGCGCACCCGTACAACCGCCTCTGTAACCCTCCTTAAAAGCTGTGCCGCGGTCACCACTGCCTATTCCACCTCCTCGTAGCCATTCCATCCAGACCCTCTCAACAGGGCCTCCACCGTTTTTGAGGATTTTAGCGTCTGGATTTGGTATCACTCTTTCCAATGCGATGTTGGTTTTAACTTTTGGTGAGTTCAACGTCCACAAAGACAACGCTTGCATTTCACAGGCCTCCTGCCTCCAATGAGCCTGCTGTTTTCTCCCCCGTTCCCCCATTCACATCTTCACATCCTGCAGCTTGTCATCGACACGAATCATTAAGACTATCCCCTCGGCCGGGCGCGGTGGCTCACGCCTGTAATCCCAGCACTTTGGGAGGCCGAGCCGGGTGGATCACGAGGTCAAGAGATCCAGACCAGCCTGGTCAACATGGTGAAACCCCGTCTCTACTAAAAATAGAAAAATTAGCTGGACACGGTGGCGCCTGCCTGTAATCCCAGCTACTCGGGAGGCTGAGGCAGGAGAATTGCCTGAACCCAGGAGGCGGAGGTTGCGGTGAGCTGAGATCGCACCATTGCACTCCAGCCTGGGTAACAAGAGCGAAACTCCGTCTCAAAAAAAAAAAAAAAAAAAAAAAAAGACAGTATCCCCTCTATGTCACTTACGGTTCAGTCAGAAAAACAGAAGCACTAAGGATCAGACATATTGGATGATAGATTGATTTAACAGGGACTGAACCGTACAGACTCGAGAGAGCTGGCTACTCATTCTCTGTAAGGCTTGTCTTCACATCGGATGCTGCACCCTGAAGTCCTCAGGGCATGTAATTTAAAAGGGAGCCTGGAAATAAAGTAGAGAAAAGCAAGGACAACTTGAAACCCTTAAGGACAGACTGGAACCCAGCCAGTCTCTCTCTGCCTCCAACCTTGATAACATGGGCAACCTGCATGAAAAGCTAGTGTACCTCATTAGGGAGAAAACACTCACCCGGCCTTGGCGTCGGAGAAACTGAAGGAACACGTACAGGTGGCCCCAGGCTCAGGGCTGCCCCACAGCATCGCATGAGCCAGCAGAAAAGCCACAATGTATGTGACCTGCAGAAGCATCCCGCTCACCCTTCTGAGCATAAAAGCAACATGGCTGCTACTGCCCATCCGCCCTCCCTAAATAGAAGCAGGCAGGGAAGGAATTCTGGGAAAAAGCAAGTTCAGGTGAACCAAATTGCCACATCACAAAACTATCATCCTCTCTGTGGTTGTAATTTCAAGTACTGCACTCTGACAGGTCAGCTACTACCTTTCCAGCTCACTTCCTGTAGAACTTGGGCTCAAGAGTTCTTCTACCCCACTGGGACCAACAGTCCATCAAAGTCTCTCAGAGTCACCATATCCTCAGTTTCCTCTGTACCCAGCTTATTATTAAAATCATTCCCATTGATTATAATAAATGTCTAGTCCAGTTTCCTCTCTCTACCCTCACCACGTTCACCTGCGAAAACCCTGCCACCCATATTTAAATGCAACCCTCCATTTTTTCCTGTACCTGCACAGCTGGAATATTTGGGGGCAAAAACCACACAACCATTCTAACTGGTCTTATTTTAAGTTCATAAACTATGTTAAGTTTATTCACCTCAAGTGAACTCAGTGCTCTCCAGCACCCTACTGTATTTCCCTCGCCCATTCTAGGACACTCACAGATGCAGCGTGTCACACCTTCTCCATGCCATACCTTTGATGCAAACTTCAAACACATCCTCCCTTTTGTTCTCAGCTCATGACCTTGCTATCTATTTGTATCTGCTGCTGTGGAATAAAACACAATCAAACAGAGTGGCTTAGAACAAAAACCATCTTTGTGGCTTGATCATCTGGGCTGGGCTTACCTTTCCTCAGGTGGGCCCACTGGTACGTGTGAGCCTAAATAAAGACACCTAGGATGATGGAGGCAGCTGGGACCTCTCCCCACATGAAATTCCTTTCTCCATCAGGATTCCCAGCATGAAAGTGGAAGCTGCAAGGCTTCAAAAGTTAGAACTAATACAACACTTTTGCTGCCTCTTGTGGGACAGAGATCATCACAGGGCCAGCTTAAAAGATAGTAGAAATAGTCTTAAGCTCTCGATGAGAGGCCAATCTGTGGCCACATTTATAATCTATCACACTGATTAGTCACGGTAGGGCTATTGTATCACCAATAAAGAAAACAGAAAAATAGAACAGAAAGCAAACACTGTATTTTTAAATCTGTTTTATCAATGTTCTCGTGTAAGTTCAGGTTGTAAATATCTTTTCAGCATTTGTGCTAGTGTTTTTACCTTAAATACTATTGATCGCATATTAAATGGTCTGTTCCGGGATCAACAGACAGTGATCCACGGGCTTAATCAGGCTGTAATTAAAGCTTTTGTAAATGAAGTTTCATTGCAATACAGCATGCTCCTTTCATTTATGTATTGTTTATGACTGAGTTCACGCTGCAGCAGTGGAGTTGAGTAGTTACAAGAGAGATTGTACGGCTTGCAAAGCCTAAAATACTATTTGACCTTTTGCAGAAAAAAATATGGCCAACTCCTGCTTGATGGCACCCTTTGTCCATCTCGGAAGTAACCTGCTTTTGTTACAGAATTGTGATAGACATGTAGTCCATGACTCAAATCCCACTGATTTATGCAAAAGAACTGCCTCAACAGAGCCAAGCTTACAAACTCACCTGTGAAAGTTCTAAGAAATTTCTTTGGTGGGTTTGTCAGATTCTACCACATAAAATGAAATACTTATTTCACGTAACAATAAAATTAAAAATCCCTGCTGAGGAAAGGGTCCAGCCGTTTCTTCAAACGGCACTAAAACTTAAGGAACGCAGAAGAAACCATCTTTGACTTGGTCTGTGATCTCAAACCATTCATCAACACGGAACGGTGAATTGAAATACAGTTCTTAAGCATGATTGTACTTCAGAGTCACCTTGGAGGCCGCTCAAGGTCTGACTCGCAGGCCCCATTCCTCAGAGACTGTGATTCAGTACGTTTGAAGGAGGGCCTGGAAACTGCATTTTTAAGAAGCATTACGTTAATTTCGATGTTCTTGGTATAAAGACCTCACTTTAAGAAACTCTGAACTAAATGGCATCAGAAACCAGAAATAAATGGGGCTTGGTTGACCATTACTTTTATTCCTTTACCTGCAAGAAAAAAATAAAAAGCATAGTATGTATTCTCATAGGTTAATAAGTAAATAGTAATACATCATTTCCTTAGAATAGTCACTAGAATTAAAAAGCCATTTGCGGGCATTTTAGATTCTATTTCAAAAGGTTATTTTGCTTAATCTCCCTTATGCTCTTCCTGAAAATATGAATTGTCTCTTTATTTCATCAATATTTTAAAATTATTAAAATTATTGAACTTTACTTGGCATTCTGAAAGGCATTCCTCTATTTTCACATTCTTTCCTTAAAATCCTATTTCAATACCATTTGCTAAAATATTTCATAAGAAAAGCAGTGTAATATGACAGAAAGATAATTGAAATGAAAAGACACAGATGTGACTCATCTAACATGTGTATACAATCTTAAAGCAAAATTTTTACATGTAACATGAATAGATTATAACAACTACTTTCTGCTATGCCTTACAAATGTGGCGATCTGTGATAGTCTGCTCTTTTTATTTATGTCAAGGAGAGCTTTAAAGATCAATTACAAGTGTTTACATGTAATTCTTATTTGGGGAATAGAAGCCATTAAAAAAAGCTCTCCTCTTACCAAAAATGTTGGGCCTATCTTTAGTAGGGACCTAGATTTAAAAAACATAGGGAAGTATACTTTAAACTGATACCAACAGGAGAAGATGGTATTCTTTTTTCCTTTTAAATCCGTAAATACATGTAAAGTTACATTTCATTACAATTTCAGTTTTATATGACTGTATCATTGGAATGTTGCTAGTGAAATTTGATGATCGTTTAGGTCTTCAATTCACCTATGAATAACTGACATGCCTTAGCTGAGTGAATTCTTATTCCATGTCTACTATTTTGCTCAAACCATAAATAACGTTCAGGCAGAGTTATATGGACGAAAATGAAAAATTTTGTGCAGTCCTTTTGATAGCACAGATCTAGAAGTTCCAAACTTGTTCCCTTTTTTATTATTTTGCATTTATGAGGCCCCTCAAATGTAACTTAAATCCCATAAAAACTGGAAGCATTGAATTGATGCCTGGGGAAACCCCATAGAATGGAACACGGAATGAGTCATAGAATAAAAACAATACTCCTGTGATAACGATTTTACAAGCAAAAGTCAATTGCTTTTCTTTTTTTTTTTTTCTCCTGTTTGTGTGCCCATGTCCACATATGCAACAAGAAACCCAGTGATTTTCGGCAAAGGCACCAAATAGCTTACATGTCAAAGGGACAGAGCAATGTTAGGCCCTCAAAAGTGGGGATAAATAAGAAGCCAGCGCTGTCCGAGCAGGACATTCTTGAATAAATGTACTCACGGTAACAGTATGAGTAGCAGCTTAAAATGAGTGTAGTGCTTGTTAGGCGGTAGGCAGGAAATATTCCACCCACTTCATTCAATTTGCACAAAACAGAACCCCTATAAGCAAGTATTAAATTCCAGTTTTAGCGATGAGGAAACTCAATGCTGGGGCTAAGGCTTTTGGTCGCAATTCCACTGTTAGAAACATGCAGGGTCAAATCGAAATGCACAGCTGGGGTTTGGCCTGAAGGCTATCTTCTCCACTCACCTGAGTAACGGCTTCGCTTCTTCTAGAGCATTTGCCTCTTACCTTCCCACTCACTAACTCAGCCGCCTACCCTCTCAGCGTGCCCAGTGCTTGATTTCTGAACTGTTTCTATCAATAGTAAAAGCCCATCGGACTCCCTGAACATAGTATGTGCTTCACAAACGGTTGTTTTTCTCTTTTCCTGCCCACTATTCATAATCACTCTTCAGTCGTGGCTCAGCTCTCTGTCGTCTGAAGTGGAAGCTACATCTCTGAAAACATACTCCCACTGAAAAGTGAGTAATAAAAACTAATATGAGGATATTGTCTTGGTGCATGTTAACACAGGATTCATGAAAACACAACCCTAGCCTTTGGATTCACTCCAGATTCTGTGACAGGCCAATGGTAGAGGTATCCAGGTGTAGGAAGAAGTTAGAATGACTGAAAATTTCCTAGAACATGGGACGTGCAATGCTAAAAGCAGACTGTTCCAGGCAACGGAGGACCACTGCTGTGGTTTAAATGCTTGTTGCCTCCAAAATTCATGTTAACATGTAATTACCAATGTGACAGTATTGGGAAATAGGATTTTTTTTCTTTTTTTTTTTTTTTTTGAGACAGAGTTTCGCTCTTGGTACCCAGGCTGGAGTGCAATGGCACAATCTTGGCTCACCGCAACCTCCGCCTCCTGGGTTCAGGCAATTCTCCTGCCTCAGCCTCCTGAGTAGCTGGGATTACAGGCACGTGCCACCATGCCCAGCTAATTTTTTGTATTTTTAGTAGAGACAGGGTTTCACCTCATTGGCCAGGATGGTCTCGATCTCTTGACCTCGTGATCCACCCGCCTCGGCCTCCCAAAGTGCTGGGATTACTTGGGAGCACCAAGTAATCCCAGCACAGCGCAGGAAATAAGATTTTTAAGAGGTGCTTAGATCATGAGGGCTCCAGCCTCATGGGCAAGCTTAATGCTTTTCTTAAAAGGACTTTCGGGAGTGAGTTTTCTCTCTTGCTCTTCCACTCTTCTGCCATGTGAGGAATGGCGTTCCCCGCCTCTGGAGGACACAGCATTCAAGGTGCCATCTTGCAAGTGGAGACCCAGTCCTCACTAGACACCAACTCTTTCAGTTCCTTCATCTTGGGCTTCCCAGCTTCCAGAACTGTGAGAAATGAATTTCTATTTTGTATAAGTTACCCAGTCTTAGGCATTCTATTATGGGAGCACAAAATGGACTAAAACAATCACCCTTTCCTAACTCTTCTGAAACTACTCCAGTAATGTTCCCTTAGGGTTGATCTGCTAGTGCAGAAAGGCCACGCCTTGTTTCATTCATCCAATTCACATAAGCATTAGCTGAGAAGATACTTTGAGAAAGATGAAGTGTGAAGCAAAGAAGTATATAACCCCCAAACATGCTTTTAATATCACTAATCTAATTTCACCTTGAAATACTTAAAAGGACCCTGGGTATAATCATGAGACCTCTATACAATCACATTATGTCATAAGATTACATTTTTCCATGTGTGGGCTGATTTCTATGCAACTGGACTTATTCAAATATTTAACATTTGTCTTATATAGAAAAATTTACTCAAAACTAAGTTTACTGGTGTCACCTGTCCGTATGCAAACTCACTTCCTCACAGCATGAGGCGCTAGTAAGGACAAAGTAGTTATTCACTTTGACAGAAATGTTCAGTGATTTGTATTTTGAGATAAACCCTAAAGTCAAAGCATTGTTTGCAATTTTATATATGAGAAACTGGTTAAGAATTTCTCTATAAAATAAGGAACTCTAAGCTACTAAGGCTTTATAATATCTGTATCCTGTGCCTTCTAGAAATTCTGTTTTCACACATTTTATACCAATAAAAATGAGAAATCAAACACATGTCTTAAACAAGGCAAAAGAGAATAGCAGTGCAATTTATGCTGAAATTTCTTCAACTGCTTTCTCAGAAAATCATAGCACCTGATGGCATTTAGAACTTTTTTACAGAACTAAGTTTTCAGAAGTAACAAAACGTTAAGCTGTATACTAAAATTATTTTTCTTTATTATTATTATTATACTTTAAGGTCTGGGGTACATGTGCAGAACGTGCAGGTTTGTTACATAGGTAAACACGTGCCACGGTGTTTGCTGCGTCCATCACCCCATCAGCTACATTAGGTATTTCTCCTAATGTTGTCCCTCCCCTAGACCCCACCCTGCTGCTATCCTTGAAAATTTTAATGTCCAATTTAAATAATATCTATACATATTCTAATGCCCTGTTTTAAAAAATTATGTTTCACATAAACCTTTTTGAAGTCTGTAAGACTCTCTTTCCTATGTGTGATACCAGTTGGGATTATATCAAAACTATACTAAAGACTATTTAGCGTTTAATAGTGTGTTATTTTTGTAGCTAAATGGGGCTTCACTATCGTTCCCAGCTCACCCTGAAGGGTGTAAGGAGGTGGGAGATGGGGTGGGAGTGGTAGATGAAGAACAGGTGAGTGGAGGGGAGGAGGTGAAAGAAAGGTGGAAAATATTTCAATCACGTTTCAGGTTGTGGTACCACCTCGTCCTCTCCACTATTTCCATAAAATACTTCAGATCATGAGTACTGCAAAGGTAGTTCCATGCTGTCAACACTAATAGCAAATAATGGGTCAAGAAAGTGGATTAAAGCAAAAGTGTGGCGTTTCTTAGAGCTAATACTTCTCTGTACAATTGTGTGAGGAGATACAGTTATGGTAAATTAAATTTTCATCACCATATGCTACATGTTAATATTTACTATTTCTCCAGTGAGTAATTACAGTTTTTAATTAACAACAAGCCACTGAAAATTAAATGTATATACTTACGTCTAAAATTAATGAAGTAGGAGCAAAAGGCAAATGATGTCAAGAACCTCTTTTGTTTCTGCCAGAAGCGCCTCTCCCCTACTGCTGATGAGTTCGCATACATTCCTCCTCCTTTCCGTGCCCAGAGACTGAAGCAAAATGGAAGGAGGAAAATGAAGCACTAGTTAGAGAACCGATAACAGCTTACTCAACACAGTGCTGTGCATATGCCAGACACTCTAAAGGCTTTACACATATTACTGAAAGCTAATACCTACCTCGTTAAGGACCCATCCTACAAGAAAGACGTTATTATCCCCACTTTACGGATGAAAATGTTAAGACAACAAAAGATTGCATAACTTACCCAAAATGATTGTTTAATAAGTAGAAGAATTGAGCTTTCAACACAGATATCCTGGTTCCCAATTCTGTGCCTTAACCACTTTCATCCCTCTAAGGAAAAATAATGGCTATTCACAAGCGTAATGTCAAATTAAAATAGTCAGAAGGTAGTGGATCAATGAGCAATCTCAAACAGCATGCAACGGCATGGAGGACGCTCACAGACGCAATATGAGTGAAAGAAGCCAGGCCAAAGAGTGTGTTCTGCATTCTTCCATTCATTATATATAGTATTCCAGTATATTTAAATATACTATATACGATTTACAGTATCATATGTTATACATTATAGTATTATATATTACAATTAATTTATATATTAATATATAATAAATATATCTTGTTAATATATTTTATATAGTGTATATTATAATACATAATATATTAGTCTATAACACATGTATTAAGTATACATTAATATATAGCCTGACAAATTAATATCATAGCCTGACAAAAAACAGGCTACGCTGCTGGAGGTCGGGATAGCGGTCACCGTTGGAGGGAGGGGCAGTAACTGGAGGGAAATACAAGGAGGGCTTCTGGATCCTATCAGGACCGCTTCTTTTCTTTTTTCTTTTTGGTCTGGGGTATTGATTACATGGTGTGTGAGTTTGTGAAGATGCATTCAGCTACGTACTTATGTGCCCTTTTCTGTGTGTATATTATATTTCAGTTAAAGGTTTTCAAGGAGGAAACAACAGGAGCTTTCAGAGTATGTCAAATGAAGCAGCAATCAACCCGCTCCTGTTTTTTGGTTGGTTTTTTTGTTTTCCGTTGAGACAGAGTTTCGCTCGTTGCCCAGGCTGGAGTGAAATGGTGTGATCTGGGCTCACTGCAAACTCCACCTCCACGGTTCAAGTGATTCTCCTGCCTCAGCCTCCAGAGTAGCTGGGATTACAGGTGCCTGTCATCAAGCCTGGCTAATTTTTTGTATTTTTAGTAGAGACAGGGTTTCACCAAATTGGCCTGGCTGGTCTTGAACTCCTGACCTCAGGTGATCTGCCTGCCTCGGCCTCCCAAAGACCTGGAATTACAGGCATGAGCCACTGCTCCCAGCCTTCTCATTTTTACTAATACTTGCCTTCTGTCCCATTCTAACGCAGGGGATTCTGAAGTGTCATATCCCCAATTATGCTTTTCCTGCCTTTCTTTCTATTTTTCTCTCAAATTTTCTTTTTTCAAAGAAAATCTTTTTATTGAGGTAAAATATACATACATAATGTATCATTTCTCTTGTCAAAAAAAAATCTAAAAAGAGAGAAAGCTATTTTTAGTTTCTTGCACTAAATAATTTCAATATCCAGCATCACTTTTATTTAGAGAAAAGGGTTACAAGTGAGAGATGAGAAAGATAAAATTTTCTGCACCATCAATAATTAAAGAAGTTAACAGTGACTAAATCGCTTTTTCCCAAGCATCAGGACTGATGCATAAATGTGCCTCCAACTCCCCTAAGACCCTCTTCCCTTCCTAGTGCTGCTAGAGCCAGTACCAGAAGCGGGTGGGAGGGGAGGTGCTGTTAGAAACTGGGCTTTTCTCAGAGTTTAAAAGAAAAAGAGAAACCCAGAATTCACAATTGAAAGCTTTAAAAAAGCGTAAAAACTATGATATCTCATTTCACAGCTCTAAAACTCTCTGAACATTGGTTTTGAACAGGATACGTCTTTCTCCAAACTGCCACATGGGCCTTTGAGCTTGGGACATCTAATAAGGGAGAAGATACACCACGTTCTCAGAGATTGTTTCTCATGGAAACCCAGTTTTGACAACCCTACCACCTGCTTTATGTCATTAAACTGAAAGAGACTATGAATAGGAAGCGGGTGGAGAGACATTGCTAATAAAATATTTAGAACACCAGGAAGAGCCACGTCAGGCTTTTAGTTTACCCAGAAAAAGCATCTTCCTAAAGTATCAGTCGACCAAGATTTACTGTATTAGTAGAATCACCTTCAGATTATAAAGATGGAAAAAATGCCCAAAATGCAGAAAGATAATCTATTTTTAAACTCTGGAATGAAAGGACAAAATGCTTTAGATGAAAGACAATGCCGAGCATCTTGCTCTTTGAGGTTGCAGTATCTGCTCTGACCCCGCCCTGTGCGGGTAATTGGTACTGAGTAGCAATATCTCAAAGGCATCCAGAAGCTATATTCTAATGGGCTGAGATGGCCACATCATGTTGCATAAGATTTAGTATGAAACAAATTAACAGACAAGCGGGCAGGACTACATAGTTGATGTCTGAACACTATCTCCTCCACAATTATTGTTGCTAGAGGAATGATTGATTGCATGTGATGGAATTTACCGTCTTTCAAATGCGCATTTTCCTCTGGAACACTGAAATAACGACGGTCCCAGAGCGCTATGCAGATCGCCCAATCCATCAGCATTTTGCTCCATGTTTGACTTATATTCCTCTGCATTTGATTGCTTCTGAAATAATGGTAGCAGAATTGAAAATGCTTTTTATATTCCCCAGATGATTTTCATTTGCAATAGATAAGCAGATGCCATTTTCCCAATGACACTAACCAGGAGAAGACACCCCCATACATTAGAGTGTTCATTAAATACAGGGGAGGGGATTCCATCGGGTATGCCAGCCCACTCAGAAGAGGAAGCTAAGAACAACGTGCAGCTGAGCCAGCAAAGTCTGCTTCATCCACACAGGCCTGGAGAGTGAGCAGACATCCCAGCTACGCATTAACGTGCACGTCGGTCTAACTCTGGGGTGTATTTTCTACATATAAAAAGATGGGATTAAGCACGATCCTGTGCAGTGACATGAGTTTTGCACTACTTGGAAGTGACATGAGAAACTTGAATTATCTATCATTTCAGTACCTCAGAGTTAGCAGCTCTGTCCTGCACTGGTTTCCCTACAACAGAACTTAGCCCCCTACCCTCTCTTTGCCTCACCCACATACCATGCCAGTCAGCTTTTGAACAATGGGCAATTGTTCTCTTTGTGGCATTTACTACTTATCACTGACAGCGGAGGAGTTTGCAGAGGAGAATTCCTAAGAGTTTTGCAAGAAAATGGGAGCAGTCAGCCTGACTGATCTGCATAAAGTCCCTCCTAAAACGCAAATATTTTGCTTTTGTTTCAGGTTCTTTTCAATGAGAAAATAACATGAGGGGAAGATGCTTTAAAAGTCCAACTTTCCGCTTCTTTCACTTCATGTTTTATTACTTTCTCTTTTTTTTGGCGAGGAAAACTTAATTATGTAGAGTAGCGACAGCTCACCCAGATCTTGCACTGATCCACAGCACAGATAAGCCATTCTGAGAAGTTAAATATTCAGTGAAGATGCTACTAATCACCACCCCAGGAACAGCCCCAAAGAAAGATTACTCTTTGCATCGTGGATGCGCCTGTCATTTGCAGAGCTTTGCAAATACTCAAAAAAGGCAGAAGCTTGGGGAAAAATAACTCTCAAAGGTGAAAATGTAAAAATTACATTGTTCCATCAATTGTACCATCATAATAAAGGTTTATAATATTTTTCTTAGAAATTAAGGTAGAACCTAGTCTTTTTATAGTTTCAGAAGAAACTGCATAGGAAACAAATCTTATGTGATTTAAAATCTCTACAAATTAAACCATTTGGCTGAAAACTACCTGCATATATACAATGCAGCATTCTTTAGAAATAAAAAGCATTCTGAGGGCATTTCTAACAAGGGCTAGAAAATATTTCCCCCACTTTTTATTCAACTCTTGGCAAACACAGTCTCGGGTTGGTACCTACAAGCACACTTCATCACATTGTACTTGGGCCATAAATTATTATTAGAAAAACTTCCTAACCTTGAAATGCAATCCGTTCTGTTTGGGTAATCTTGTAGTTTTTAGAAAATGCATCCACATCTAATCTTAAAAGTATAAAATTTTAAAAATCAATGAAGGTGTAATTAACAGTATAATAATATAGGTAATACATGTATGAGATATTCAAAAATGTAATTTAAGCAATATCACTATAAATGTCATGATTTTAGCTGCCCTTAGATACGTTTAGAAATAATAACGTGTTTGCAGCCGTCATATCAAGCCCTTCCTACACAGATTTTTGAGACTGAGGATTTCATGAAAGCATATGGGTTGTGCTTGAACCATGTTCACAAGGGCTAGACTTGCCTGAAAATCCCTGGCTCTGTCCGCTGCTTCCACGCGTGCTCCCCTTCGCTCCCTGCCGCCTTCTTCAGGCTTCCTGTTGCCTCTGCTGTAAACTCAACTAGACACAGAATTCATTTTCTTCTCATTGATTTCCACCAACAAAACAGCCGCGATTGTACTGAAAGTCTGGGGAGGCAGAAGCTCAAACAACTGAAAAGTGATGATAAAATGTCCCGTTGTTAAAAGTGCCTCGACACCAGCACCCTTTTCTCATGTTGTGTCCTCTGTTCTCTCGTGGGCGCCCACTCCTAAACTCCCCGTCACAGAATGGTGTCGGCTTCTCGTTCATCCTTTCAGACCTGCACTTCCAGTCTCCCTCCCCACCTCGAGAAGATCATCAAGACATTTTTTCTTTTAAGATAGTTCTTGCCCAATGGAGAGCCCAGATGTCTGCTTTTATGATAATTATTTCACCCCATATTTATCTCATTTGATCTCAACGGCCCCTTGTTTCCCAGAACTGATATTGTTATGATTCCTGTTTCATAAACAGGAAACCAGGGTTTGCAGAGAGGAGGTTATTTGTGACGGCCACACAGCTTAGTGGAACCATGACCAGAACTCCTATCACCTGTGCTCTGGAGCGGCCACCTCCTCTCAAGCCAAGATCCTGCTCCTTTCCATCAACTGCTCTTCTCTCTCTAAAATAAAGATAGGAATTCCTCAAGAAATATGTGTTATGGGCGTAAGAAATGTAGCAAAGATTGATTAGCTCTGTGGTCCTCAAAGTGTTTTCCCAGGATCAGCTGCATCAGCATCTCCTGGAAACTGGTTAGAAATGTAAGTTCTTGGACCCAATTCAGATCTATAAAGTCAGAAACTCAGACTGCAGCTCAGCAAGGGTCTTAACCGTTCCCAGGTGATTGTGATGCAACCTGCGTTTTGAGGACCGCGGGACTAGCTATTCATCATGGGATGTAATGAGTGCGATATGAACAAAACCAACTACGCTGCTTCCAGGTTTGTCCCATGAAAAGCCTCTCTGCGTGATATTCCATGACACTCTCTTTCCGTTGTCTGCTGCAGGCAAATGTGGTGACACTGAAAGGTATGAGTAGAATATGGTAGCGCCCAGAACACAAGAAGGCTGGATCTCTGAGGTATAGCGTGAAGGAAATCACCAGTTGTTCAAGAATACCCAATTTGGGGAAAGCCACTTGAGGCCTGACATGTGCATGTCACAGCTGCTAGCATTGTCCTACCTCGTATGACAGGCTCATTTTGTGTGGGCCTTATTTCTAGGATTGTAAGAGAGAAACTGAGATATGTAGGAGGTAAAGCTACCGACTCTCATCTTATTTGCCTATTTCCTGAAGAAAGAGACCAGAGAAAAAATTCCTTGGTTCTACAATAGGAGTAAAGTTGACATACAAGTTCCAGCTTGATCAGGATGCAGGGGGACAGGAGATGACAGGTGAGAAGAAGTGATGCTTGGGTGATAGAAAAACAAAGGGGTAGAGGCCGTGCCGACAAGGGGTAGAGGCCGTGCCGACATGGGGTAGAGGCCGTGCCCACAAGGGGAAGAGGCCGTGCCGACATGGGGTAGAGGCCGTGCCCACAAGGGGAAGAGGCCGTGCCGACATGGGGTAGAGGCCGTGCCGACATGGGGTAGAGGCCGTGCCCACAAGGGGAAGAGGCCGTGCCGACATGGGGTAGAGGCCGTGCCGACATGGGGTAGCGGCCGTGCCGACATGGGGTAGAGGCCGTGCCCACAAGGGGAAGAGGCCGTGCCGACATGGGGTAGAGGCCGTGCCGACATGGGGTAGAGGCCGTGCCGACAAGGGGAAGAGGCCGTGCCGACATGGGGTAGAGGCCGTGCCGACATGGGGTAGAGGCCGTGCCGACATGGGGTAGAGGCCGTGCCCACAAGGGGAAGAGGCCGTGCCGACATGGGGTAGAGGCCGTGCCCACAAGGGGAAGAGGCCGTGCCGACATGGGGTAGAGGCCGTGCCGACATGGGGTAGAGGCCGTGCCCACAAGGGGAAGAGGCCGTGCCGACATGGGGTAGAGGCCGTGCCGACATGGGGTAGCGGCCGTGCCGACATGGGGTAGAGGCCGTGCCCACAAGGGGAAGAGGCCGTGCCGACATGGGGTAGAGGCCGTGCCGACATGGGGTAGAGGCCGTGCCGACAAGGGGAAGAGGCCGTGCCGACATGGGGTAGAGGCCGTGCCGACATGGGGTAGAGGCCGTGCCGACATGGGGTAGAGGCCGTGCCGACAAGGGGAAGAGGCCGTGCCGACATGGGGTAGAGGCCGTGCCGACATGGGGTAGAGGCCGTGCCGACATGGGGTAGAGGCTGTGCCGACAAGGGGAAGAGGCTGTGCTGACATGGGGTAGAGGCTGTGCTGACATGGGGTAGAGGCCGTGCCGACATGGGGTAGAGGCCGTGCCGACATGGGGTAGAGGCCGTGCCGACATGGGGTAGAGGCTGTGCCGACATGGGGTAGAGGCTGTGCCGACATGGGGTAGAGGCCGTGCTGACATGGGGTAGAGGCCGTGCCGACATGGGGTAGAGGCCGTGCTGACATGGGGTAGAGGCTGTGCCGACATGGGGTAGAGGCCGTGCTGAAATGGGGTAGAGGCTGTGCCGACATGGGGTAGAGGCCGTGCTGACATGGGGTAGAGGCTGTGCTGACATGGGGTAGAGGCTGTGCTGACATGGGGTAGAGGCCGTGCCGACAAGGGGTAGAGGCCGTGCTGACATGGGGTAGAGGCTGTGCTGACATGGGGTAGAGGCTGTGCTGACATGGGGTAGAGGCCGTGCCGACAAGGGGTAGAGGCCGTGCCGACATGGGGTAGAGGCCGTGCTGACATGGGGTAGAGGCCGTGCCGACATGGGGTAGAGGCCGTGCCGACATGGGGTAGAGGCCGTGCCGACATGGGGTAGAGGCTGTGCCGACAAGGGGTAGAGGCTGTGCTGACATGGGGTAGAGGCCGTGCCGACATGGGGTAGAGGCTGTGCTGACATGGGGTAGAGGCCGTGCCGACATGGGGTAGAGGCTGTGCTGACATGGGGTAGAGGCCGTGCCGACAAGGGGTAGAGGCCATGCTGACAAGGGGTAGAGGCCGTGCTGACATGGGGTAGAGGCCATGCTGACAAGGGGTAGAGGCCGTGCCGACATGGGGTAGAGGCCGTGCTGACATGGGGTAGAGGCTGTGCTGACAAGGGGTAGAGGCCGTGCCGACATGGGGTAGAGGCCGTGCCGACATGGGGTAGAGGCTGTGCTGATATGGGGTAGAGGCTGTGCTGACATGGGGTAGAGGCTGTGCTGACAAGGGGTAGAGGCTGTGCTGACAAGGGGTAGAGGCTGTGCTGACATGGGGTAGAGGCCATGCTGACAAGGGGTAGAGGCCGTGCTGACAAGGGGTAGAGGCCGTGCCGACATGGGGTAGAGGCCATGCTGACATGGGGTAGAGGCCGTGCCCACAAGGGGAAGAGGCCGTGCTGACAAGGGGTAGAGGCCGTGCCGACAAGGGGAAGAGGCCATGCTGACATGGGGAAGAGGCCGTGCCCACAAGGGGTAGAGGCTGTGCTGACATGGGGTAGAGGCCGTGCCCACAAGGGGAAGAGGCCGTGCCGACATGGGGTAGAGGCCGTGCCCACAAGGGGAAGAGGCCGTGCCGACATGGGGTAGAGGCCGTGCCCACAAGGGGAAGAGGCTGTGCCGACATGGGGTAGAGGCTGTGCTGACATGGGGTAGAGGCCGTGCCGACATGGGGTAGAGGCCATGCTGAGACAACAGTCCCATGCCACTTCTCACATCACTTTGGAACATGCACATTCCATAGGTGTCTCTCTGGGAACCTGGGATAGAAATGGGCTTGTGGAAGTAAAAGTATTTAAAGTTAAATGAAATTTGGCATTTGAACACTAACAATTATCGGGTTAATTGTTCTGGACACTAACAATTAGCAGGTTAAATTCACTAATTTTGCAGAGATTTAACTAACCAGGATTCTCAGTGGCAAAACCAAGCCAAGAACTCAGTTCGCCCAACTTCCAAGTTCACAATCTTTTCTATCATCTAACAGCTTTACCTTGTTGCTGTTTTTTTAACTTCAAGGCACTTTCTTTAAAATATCATTTCTTCCTCTTATATTTCACACCCAGAACTTACTGCAGAGGTTAAGCACACTGAACTTGGCTCTACTGTCAATGTTTTAAGAATTCTGGCAGCTGTATTGACTAGATTTCTATAATGATAGGGGATTCGTTTGTCCAGGAGAACTTACAGGTAGAGAAAGTAATCCCTAAGCGCTCTTTTTTCATGACGGAATGTGCAAAGCCCAGACAGGACTGGGAAATGGGAAGGCCCCCGGGCCTAATGGGATGCTTACCGAGATCTATTGATTCTGATGCAGCACATTGATTGGCCATCTGACTCCACACTCTGTAACGTCTAGCCGAAAGAAAAAGTACGGGAACAGATAAAAGATGTCAGGAATGTCCCCAGCTGTGATCACAAGTTTCCAAAAGGGATTGTGACAGTTAGTGAAGCATCTCTTTAACGTTAGTCCCCAGGAACACACTGTCAAGCATTTTTCTCCGTGAGCTCCAGATGGCATCTCAGATACTTTCCCTTTAGAGTCGCACGCAGTTTTAGTGTCTAGGTTCGTTCAGACGTTTACATATCGTGAATCACTTACATTGTTATTAGCTGCTGCCAGCTGAAGAAAAGTACAGAAATAGAGACTTTTGGAAAGTCCTTTACCATGATGAGGCTTTATTCCGTCTGTCATTCAGACTTCCAACTCTGTAAGGGGCTGGATAGGTAAAATTAAAAAAATAAAATAAAGGAAGCGCAGCACGAAGTAGGGTCTATGCACATGAACTCCAGCTAGGTTTCCCCGTTTGAACCCTCACGCTAGCATTAAATGGTGGTATCTCTGGGAAAGCCATGTAACTTACTTGTCCCTCAGTTTCTTAAACCGTATTGAAGGGATAATTAATAGTTCCTACCTCACAGGATGAAACCACTTTGTATTTTTTAAATGTATAGAACAGTGCCTGGCACCTATCGGTATAAAATGTTCTTAATAAAATAATAAGAATAACTTACACCCAGGCAGCTGGATTAACCCGGAGGCACATCAGACTTCCTCACTATTTTCATGCTTCTGGGAAGACAGGATCGCGGGATAAACTGAGTCAGACTGCCACCAGATAAAAAGATATGAATAGGGGCCGGGCGCGGTGGCTCACGCCTGTAATCCCAGCACTTTGGGAGGCTGAGGCGGGTGGATCACGAGGTCAAGAGATCGAGACCATCATGGTCAACATGGTGAAACCCCGTCTCTACTAAAATTACAAAAAATTAGCTGGGCATGGTGGTGCGTGCCTGTAATCCCAGCTACTCAGGAGGCTGAGGCAGGAGAATTGCCTGAACCCAGGAGGCGGAGGTTGCGGTGAGCTGAGATCGCACCATTGCACTCCAGCCTGGGTAACAAGAGCGAAACTCCGTCTCAAAAAAAAAAAAAAAAAAAGATACAAATAGGACATTTGGTTTGTCAAACCCAAAAGAGGTGTTTCAATATTAATAGGAAAGTCTTTACATCCTACTAATCTCGAGTAAAACTGAAAACCAAAAACGGATTCATTTCCTATGTTTAAAAACATAAAATATGAGAACAATCCATCTAGTTTATCAGCAGAGATAGTTACCCTGAGATCAGCTGGCCTCTTCCACTCAGCAGGCTCCCCTCCACCAGGGATTGTGTATTCAGGGAGTGCAAACCAATCCACCGGAGCAAACAAGAATCCAGAGATAAACCTCACTCCCCAAATCGCCGCCTTCGTGAGCTGTAATCTTTACTGATTCTCTCATTCTCTTCTTCCTTATTCAGGGTGGCTAATAAAAAGTTGACCATATACAATTTTTCCATAAAGCCAAATGTTCCTGAAGGATGTGAGAAATCAAAGGAGCTAATATGACTACATTCAAAGAGCAGTCAGAATAATGCACTAGAGAAAGGGAATAAATAAGAAATGTTATGAGGAATGAAAAAGAATTCAAGATTAAAACAAAAACCACTTACCCACCCAGAAGGGGGAAAAGTAACTGCAATCAGGAACAACTACGTAATTTGTGGGGACCAGTGCAAAGCGAACAGGCCGAGGCTCTTGTTCAAAATGTATTTTAAAAAATTAAGATGGAAGAGCAGAGCACTAAGCCAAGCATAGCGTCCTTCTAAGCGTGGGACGCAACTTACCCGCACAGGTCATGTGCCCATGAAGCCTGCCTTGATAGGAAGACATGAGCTTATAAGTATAAAACGAGAAAAGATACAGAGAAGCACATAAATTCAGAGGACAGTCTAGAAACACAGAAGGCATGAGAAAGGGAAACATTGGGAGACCTGATAAAAGGGGTTAGATTAAGCGAATGTCAGAGAATAGAGGGAAAAGACCGGGAAATAAAGATGAAAAGTGAACGGACGAGAAAGGCCAAAGTGGAAAGACCAATCTCAGTCAACTCCACGTGCAAAAGGCACGCCAGCAAGGTGGACCGGAAGCAGCGAGTCCACATCTGACCCTCCACATCTAGCAACCAGCAAGTTAGTACCACGTGGGAAGTCACAGTTCCAGGAAGAGGGACTGTGAAAAGGGCAATGACTAAGTGTT